TGGGGGGGGGGGAGGAGACGAGCAGGGATTGAGCGCCTACTGTGTGCCTCAGCGCTTTACAAAAGATTTTCGTACGGTCTTCAGTACAGCCCTTGCCAGAAGGTATTACAGAGCTTGTCCCTTTTACAGAGGGACAAGCTGAGCCTCGGAAAGGTGAAGTCACTTGTCGAAAGTTGCACAGCCGGGATCTGCATGACACCCCAAATCAGTGCTCAGTTACGCCAAGGAGAGCACGATGAACTTGAACCACTCGTTGGCCGAATCCTGCTCTTGCTCGGTTTTTTTTTTTTTTTTTTTTTTTTTGTGGATTGGCACATAGTGGGTGCCCAGGAAAATAAATGTTGGAAGCTGGAGAATGAGCTTGACAGCTCAGCCCTGGGTGCCCGTCTCGAATCCAGCCCAACCCGCGGGGTGCCAGGTTTCCCCCGACCTCAGAAGGGAACATTTGCGGACGGGGGCGTAGAGGAGAGGCTGTCAGTCCAGTTCCGCACAGGCACTCTAGCGATACGTGGCGGCGGAACCCCAGCGCAGCGGAGGACCGACTGAGTTCAAACCCCGGCTCTGCCGCTTTCAGGCTGTGTGACTGGGCAGATCATCTCATCCGCTGTAACCTCCGTTGCTCTAGCCATAAAATACAGGGTATCAACACCCATCCTAAAGGTAGCAGGGAGGATTAAACGAAACAATGTTCCTAAAACACTAAACGCACAAGGGTTGTCACCCAACCATCCAAGAAGTTTCGGGGGCGCACAGGGCACTGGGTGACCCGAGACAAAGACTTCCCGGCGCCCGTCTCCAGGTCGTCCACCCTGGGCGCTGGAACCAACGGGCCTTCGAGTGACCCCCGTCCAGCGAAATCCGAAACAGCGGCCACTTTGGCGGCGGCCGGTCCCGAAAGCAAATATTCTTAATCTGGCGCAAGGCTAGGGCTGACATTTTTGCGTTTAATTTTCTTGCAGTGTTATTCTTGCTAGTAAAGGTAATTCGTTAGAAACTCTTAAGTGAGGTTTCTCTTCTGAGTCTTGTATAACTTTTCGTATGAGCGAAGTTTACAAATCTGACCAAAAAACGGGGGCATGGCAGTCTTTTCCGGGATCCCCGTCCTTGGACCGGTCCTTGACAATACTCTGGCTCTCCGTCCCTTCCCCCAGGCACTGAAGCCACAGACAGGCTTCCCGTGTTCCGCCCGTTCAGGCGGAGCCTCTTCGTCCCGGCAGCCCTCCGGGATTCCCTGTGTCCACGATGGAGTGAAGAGAGGTGAGGGGCTGCAGCCCAGAACTCAGCTTTCCCGACCTCCCCAAACTCCCGCCTTGCCAGGATTAAGGGAGTAAATCCCTGACGCCACAGTTCAGGTCAAGGACAAATTCTCCCCCGCCCTACTCCCCCCTGCTGGGCGGAGATTCACCCCCCCCCCCTTTCCCGGGTGAAAGGTACTAAAGAGACGCGGGGAAGGGGGGCGGCGGCGGGCCCCGGCCCCTTGATGTTCCGGTTGAACAGGTGCTGGTGAAAAGGAGGCGTACCCGGCGGAAGAGTCTGCCCGGGGGGAGCGGGAGGGCAGTGCCCTGAAGGGGGGGCTGCCTCCTCCACCCCCAGTCCCCCTGCCGGTCTTCCCCTCTCCTCTCCGTCTGCCCCTCCCCCGCAGGAAGCATTCCTGGTCGGGAGGTCTTTGAAGTGTCGCTGAAGCCCCCAAGGCTGCCTTCTCTCCTCTACCACCCCACCTCCCGCTGGGGGGGGGTGACCTTTGGTCCCCGCGGGCGTCGACCACCCTTCAGGAAGGGGGGAGGAGGGCCGGCCCGTGGCTCACTCAGGAGAATGTGGTGCTGATAACACCAAGGCCAAGGGTTCGGATCCCTATATAGGGATGGCTGCTTAGCTCGCTTGGGAGAATGTGGTGCTGACAACACCAGGTCAAGGGTTAAGATCCCCTTACCGGTCATCTTTAAAAAAAAAAAAAAAAAAGGAAGGGGGGGGGTCAGATTTCGTCCCCGTTGCGCACATCGGTCTTGGGGAAGAAGCCTTCGGGCTGACAACCCCTCACTTGTTCCCCATACCCAATTTCGGGAACTTTAATTTTTTGGAGTGTCGTGTTATGTGAGTTATGTTGTGTATTTGTGTGCTTGCCTAGAGGTCAAGTGTGAATGTGTTGTTCCTGAGTACTTCCGTACTTGCGGGTCCCTAACCTGTGTGAGTCCCTAGGCGCGCCTGTGGGGCTGGGGCTGGAGTTTGTCTCTGGGAAGGTCCGATGGTGTGACTGGATGGCGCTGGGAGTGAGTTTGTGAGTCTGTGGGTGCTTCGGTGTGTCTCAAAGGGGTCTGAGACCCTGTGCGTGCGTGCGTGTCCGTGAACTCGACGGGAAGCTCCCCGACGGCAGGAGTATCTGTTTTTGTTCACTACTCTATCCCAGCGGCTGGCACATAGTAAGCGTTCAATGAATATTTGCTGAATGAATAAATGTCGGCGTGTGAGTGTCTACCCTACAGAGTGGCCTTCGAGGAAAGAGTCCATGAGTGGCCGTCCAAAGAGACCCCCCGACACAGAGGGGCAAGTGGCCCACGTCGCTCCCCTTCCCCTGGTCTCCACCCCCAAGTTTCGCTGGGGTTGAAGAACAGAGCCAGAAACGAAGACCTGGGCGGAGGAGGCTGGAGAATCGGAGACGCGGGCCCAAGACAGTAGGACAAGCAGAGGAAGGGCTCGGGAGAGACAACCGAGAGCCATAAAACGAAAAAGAAAGAAGGCGAAGCAGCACGGAGCGAATGAGCGAAAAGCTCCCTACCAAGCCAGGCTTTGTTCCCTGAATCTAAGACTTTACCCGGCGGCGGGCGGCGGGCGGCGGGCGGGCCGGGAGCGAGCGAGCGGAGGCGCGCGGCCATGGCTGCCGCGGGCCGAGCGGGAGAGGGGGTCAGCAGGGAGGCCGG